CCAAAACGCAGACCCAATCAACCATATCGACACGCCCCGTTTTTATAGCATCAAATTACTAGCTAAAATCAAACTTATCACAAAAACGAACAATTGAACATACAGGTGCATCTCAATAAATTAGAATGATGTGGAAAAGTTCATTTATTTCAGTAATTCAACTCAAATTGTGAAACTTGTGTATTAAATATTTGAGTTGAATTACTGAAATAAATGAACTTTTCCACGACATTCTAATTTATTGAGATGCACCTGTATATCAGCGTGATGATAACTACCTTGAATGACCAAAACCATCTTTCGGGAAATTGTATTGGAAGTGTAATTAATTTTTTTATTTTGACTCAAGTTCCATTCGTTTACATTAAGAGGGTGGGGTATATGACCTGTACTGCAGTCAGCCCCCAGGGGGCGATCAAAGAGCTTGCAGCTTCACTTTTCAGGACGTGTGAGGCACACCCAATATATATATATATATAACCATATACAAATTTGTTGAGATAGTGAAATGGTGGGTTTTTGTTAAATGTGAGCCAAAATCATCACAATTAAAAGAACAAAAGACTTAAACTACTTCAGTCTGTGTGCATTGAATTTATTTAATACACGAGTTTCACAATTTGAGTTGAATTACTGAAATAAATGAACTTTTCCACGACATTCTAATTTATTGAGATGCACCTGTATATCAGCGTGATGATAACTACCTTGAATGACCAAAACCATCTTTCGGGAAATTGTATTGGAAGTGTAATTAATTTTTTTATTTTGACTCAAGTCCCATTCGTTTACATGGAGAAGGCGGGGTTTATTACCTGTACTGCAGCCAGCCACCAGGGGGCGATCAAAGAGCCCGCTTCACTTTTTAGGATGTGTGAGGCACACCCGATACTAACAGCCGATCCGCATACAAAGTGACGTTATAGTTCCCCCACTCTATAAACAGCCGGTAGAAGCAACATGACAGAGCGAGAGAACCGGAGTTTAGCCATACATATGGGAAGCCAAATGCACTGAAAGTGGGATGAAACAGCGCGATGTTACAGAGTATTCGGCACGGATCAATTGACCGAGCCACGCGACAGCGCTACCAAACGAATATCGCGCTACGAACGGCGCAAACTAATCTCACAAGCACGGCGCTGATCAGTTAAAAAGTACTTAATGTATGCACACAAATACGGTTAAAATGCTAAGGACTATAACGACATGACATTCACAAAGGAGTTTGGAGTGATACACGTATTTAGGTAGATTTTGAGGCGCATTGCCTTGAAAAATTAAAGTAACCCACAGCGTCCTCAGCAAGTCTTACAAACAAACACAGAGCATCATAGAATGATATGAAGGTAACAGCATTTTCACTTTTGGGTGAACTGTTCCTTTAAATGTAATAACAAATTTAATATCTAGTATAAAAGATAATATATTTAGATACAATAGATGCTAACACTTGCAAATGCAAACAAAAAAGATATGGTGCCCAAAATCCATTTTCTGTGTTGTTGGACATGATATGTTATGTCCTCTCATACTGGTTACTGGAAGTTCAACATGGCACATCATGGGAAAGAACTCTCTGAGGATCTGAAAAAGAGAATTGTTGCACTACATAAAGATGGCGTAGGCTATAAGAAGCTTGCCAAAACCCTGAAACTGAGCTGCAGCACGGTGGCTAAGACCATACAGCGGTTTAACAGGACAGGTTCCACTCAGAACAGGCCTCGCCATGGTCGATCAAAGAAGTTGGGTGCATGTGCTCAGCGTCATATCCAGAGACTGAGTTTGGGAAATAGACGTATGAGTGCTGCCAGCATTGCTGCAGAGGTTGAAGGGGTGGGGGGTCAGCCTGTCAGTGCTCAGACCATACGCCGCACACTGCATCAAATTGGTCTGCATGGCTGTCGTCCCAGAAGGAAGCCTCTTCTAAAGATGATGCACAAGAAAGCCCGCAAACAGTTTGCTGAAGACAAGCAGACTAAGGACATGGATTACTGGAACCATGTCCTGTGGTCTGATGAGACCAAGATAAACTTATTTGGTTCAGATGGTGTCAAGTGTGTGCGGCGGCAACAAGGCGGTTTAGACATGAATGGCTGTGTGTTGAGTTATTTTGAGGGGACAGCAAATTTACACTGTTATACAAGCTGTACACTCACTACTTTACACTGTAGCAAAGTGTCATTTCTTCAGTGTTGTCACATGAAAAGATATAATAAAATATTTACAAAAATGTGAGGGGTGTACTCACTTCTGTGAGATACTGTATATATTAGGGCTGTCAGTTTAATGAGTTAACGTAATTAGTTATGGAAAAAAATAACGCAATTAAAATATTTTTTCAGTTAACGCACTGGCCCCGCCCCCAGACCTGTACGTCATCTTATATTTCATACAGTTGACTGTTGACAAATACGATGCAGGGCCATAACTCCATAAATGCAGTTATGCCCTAAAATTCTAAATATCGGTGGAAAAAAACGCCCCTGTATGAGTTGTCACATATTTATATATCAAACGATATCACAGGCAGAGCAGTATTATACGAGTGCTGATTTTTTCCTGAATATCACAAGTTTAGATGTGATTTTATACAACAGTTTGGTAAATAAGAAGTTGATATTGTGTTATATTTTAAACAATGTTATATTTTTGCTCAATTTTGCAGAAAACATATTACCTTTAAAGTCATAGCAGAATTGTGTTGCATCTCCGAGCAACACAGCAGTGTTTAGCTTCTGAATGAATCTGCATTTTGAACGAATAGCCCATTCATAAAGAGAGTCATTTACTTAATTCCTGAATGAATCAGCTGTTTGAACAAATCGAATGAAGATATTTACCGCCACCTGCTGGCAGATTTAGTTTCTTATTTCTTATTATCATTTCATAAAAAAAACATTAAAGGGATAGTTCACCCAAAAAATTTAAATTCTGTCATTAATTACAGAATGTTGCTAAAATCCTTTCTTTTGTGGAACACAAAAGAAGGTATTTTGAAGACTGTTGTTAACAAAGCTGTTTTAGTTACTGTAAGAAATTATAGTCTGCCTCGACCAAACTTCCACTCCAAGTAGACTATTCTCCTTTCTCTACAAAGAGCTTAATTATCATAGAGATAATTCTTTCCGATCTCAATAATATGTAAATAGTATCTCCTGAACGTTACTTCGTCACCTATAGCGTGGGAGTGGCAGTAGGCCATCATGAACCATCTGCTGACCAAAAGGGTACTTGAATATAATTGCTAGGGATTCTAGATAATCCTATCACCTTAACATTTGGTTGTTTCCACCTGAAAGACTACCAAAGATGTGGGAACGGATGCCTATCACTTTCATTGTTATCTGCAATTTACATTTAAGATGAAACTTCATTTACATGTCTAGCGGGAAGATGAACGTAATAAGAGTATAAAATGTTTGAGCGTAGGATGCTTGAGGTTCATTCAGACTCCGTTGAACCCAAGGTACTACATGTCACTGCTATGCTGCAATAAACATCTTCATCGAGATCTTCATCGTCCTCATCACTTTTTCTTACATTACCAATGACTTTCACTGTATGAACAAAAAATACTGAGATGTTTCTTAAATTATCTTCTTTTATGTTCCAAAGTTTATGTTAGGACGTTGTAGCCTAAATGTTTATGTGTAATTAATTTTATGTTGAATCAAATAAAATATTTCTTTCTAAAGCTACAATTTGTAATGTCTACTTGATACTTTCTAATTTAACACAAAAATATGTTTAAATAATCTTTTGTGGGTATTTTCAGTCCCATATTTTCAATTAGATTTAATCGAAACATTATGTAATTAATTAAACTAAAAATGTTAATCGACTGACAGCCCAAATATATATATATATACACACACACACAGTGTGTGTGTGTGTATATATATATATACACACACACACACACACACACACACACTATATCAGAATCCAAATATATCCAAAAATATACCCTTCGATATCAAAATTAATTAAATATTAAACAAACAAACAAAATTAAACAAACAATTTATAGCAATCAATTTTAAGAAGCACTCGAATTCAGCGAAGAACACAAAATGTCTCTGTGATTTAGTTTCAAGCCAAATGCAACAGTGCTGACATTCTCAACAGCACTGACAAACATGAGAAACACTGTGCCATGAACAATCCAATTAGATGGCTTTTACATGGATTTACTGTATTAAAACTAACTGCACCATGGTATTGTAGCTGAAATACGCGATATACATATGGAACTTTATTATATTAATGTAGACATACATTAAATGTATTAAAGGACTAATGGTTATTAAACTATAGCATTTGTTTATACTAAATGTATTTAGGCTGCTTTCATACAAATACTGTAGAAACCAAACCATATAGTTACATTTACCATGATAGTGAGGTGCTTTGTGTGGTTTTACCTTTGGTCATCATGCTCTAATAGTGTGATACTGTAGATGTACAATAACTAACCAATGGTTAATTATAATCCAATAAGAGTCCTAACTCCTAACTTTACCCTAAAAATATGAGGTTGTTGCATTTTTTTTTTTACAGATGTTACCTATTTTGTTAATGAATAAATTTGCATCTGCATTGTGCCAAGTCAGGGAACATAAACCTGTTTCATGATTTGTAATCACCCGTTAGAATGCAGAAACTAAGAAGTTAGTTTCTCTATTAAGATATTTTTCTAAGGAAAATAAACTGGCTTTTAGTATCCGTGCTATGAAAAAAATGGGGGTGTTTTTCAAGCAGACACACTGTAGCATGTTGCAGCTATCTCTATCAGGTGCCAGTTTGGATACGGACAGAGCCCAAACTACAAAGAGGTATGGGCGCTCTGGCAAACAGATCCTTTGCTGTTACCCAGCTATTTGTAAGCTTTCCTCTATTCTATCTGCCTCTAATTCAATGACCACTGATCCATACATCACAAAACCCCTCTAACACAAACTCACGAGTCATGCATGTTGAGGGCTGGATGACCTCACCTGCATTTAAGTGGCAGTCTTTGATCTGGTATTGCAGCTCATTCTCATTTGGGATGTCCTTCCATGTGGCCAAGAACACCTGACGCTCTGTTGAAGAAACGTTTAAAGATTATCATGTGGGATTAGCCAGTCAGTGTCTAAAGTGTGTTCAATCATAGTTACATCCAATCAATCCACTCTTTTATTAAACCTCAGTGTGAAACTCTTTTTAGATCGAGCATGTGTGCGCCGAGTGCTTGTACCCATTTTGCCATCCTCCACGAAGAAGACACTGAGAGGGATCAGCGTGCTGAAGTAGAAGACATCAATATTGTTTTTCACAGCCACCTGGGGTGAGAAAGGTTGAATGGTCAGACTTTTAAATATACTTCACTGTATAAAGGTCTAAAACGCCTCTGCTGCACGACTGCATTTTGATGCTGTCCTTATTTACCAAATGGAAAAAGAGCTTTCAGTTGCATGGAAAGCGACAGAAAAGGGAAACAAGAAGAGAGGCACAAGAGCAGAAGAAAGGGGTGGCAGAAATCAATGGTTGCACCCCGCTGATGAGTTCTTTCATATTTTACACCATGTAAATATTATTAGACTGCAAATCGAGCCATAGAAATCCAATGAATAAATGATGGCATAACTGACCTCTATTTTTAGACACCCATAGTGTTTTTTGTTGGAAAGGAAGATAATTTTTATTCTTGGTTAGGCACAGAAGCACTTTTTTTTTTTTCTGACTAATTAAGGAAAAAATGTGGATTGGTTTTAAATAGGGTTGCAAAGGGGTGGAAAATTTCCGGAAATTAAAAAAAATAAAAAATCCCTGGAATATTCCAAAAAAATCCTGGAAAGTTTCCAAAATTTCTGGAATATTTCCGAAATTTACTGGAAATTTTCCACCTTTTTGCAACCCCAGTTTTAAAAATAATTCACCCAAAAATGAAAATTTTCTTACCCCCAGGCCGCCCAAGATGTAGATGAGTTTGTTTCTTCATTGGAACAGAATTTGAAAAATTTAGCATTACATCACTTGCAGTGAATGGGTGCCATCAGAAACATCATAAAACAACATAATAATAATCCACAAGTAATTGACTCCAGTCCATCTATTAACATCCTGTGAAGTGAAAATCTGAGTGCTTGTAGGAAACAAATTCATCTATAAACTGTTTTAACTTCAAACGGTTTCTTCCAAAAGGAGTCCACAATTCATAAAAACGCAGTCCTAAACAAATTTTAGATTTTGATGTGAGGACTTTTTTATTATTATTATTATTATGAATTATGAACTCATATTTGGACAGAAATGACCGTTTAAAGTTAAAACACCTTAACGATGGATTTATTTCTTGCAGCTTTTCACTTCTCAAGACGTTAATAGATTGACTGGAGTCGTGTGGATTACTTGTGGATTATTGTGATGCTTTTACCAGCTGTTTTGGACTGATGGCACCCATTTACTGAATGCTAAATTTCCCCAAATCTGTTCAGATGAAAAAACAAAGTTATCTACATCTTCAATGGCCTGAGTGTGAGTACATTTTTGTTTATACTACCTCCTTAAATAACATACATATACATACATACATACATACATACATACATATATATATATATATATATATATATATATATATATT